CATGTTGGATTATATTTTTTATCTTCAGCCAAAACAATTGGAAACGTATGATTTTTGCATCAGTGTCAGTTCAACTGTGTGTACAGGAGAATATGTTTGTCTTTTCTGACAAGTGTGCATAAGTTTTTATGTACCCATTAATAAATTAATAAATTCTTTATATGAATGTGAGTCTGTCCTTACACCGTGCACTGCCACCAAAGCCATATATGGTCATTGAGGGTTGTGACATTTATACTGGAAGGGATCATTAGAGTAGATCCAGAAATGTCTTCATAGATTAATTCAATCTGACGTACATTAAATAACATCGTCCACCAGGGGTCAGGGCTGAGGTGTATGGGTAATACCAAAGTAAATCCGTTGGTTATAAATGAGCTAACGTGTTCCTCGTTTTCATGCCAACTCGAAAATGAGGAACAGACCTTCTAATGAAAGGTCAGCGGTGTCATTTGCAGGTCCAGGAAAAATATTTCGGATTCCATGTTAAGACAGTGGTGTTGCATTCAGATGTGGAAATAATGGTGTGAATGGATTCAGGTAGTTATTAGAGTAGAGCGTCAGCTTGGATTTCATCTAAGATAGAACAGACCAAGACCATTATTTAAACTATATGTCAGATCAAAGTGATTGGCATGAGTTTATATCATCAGCCAAAAAGAAAAAAAAACCAAGTCCAATGTTGGAAAAAGTATTTTCAGGACAGATGTGGTGCAGGTCCACAGGGTAATTTCATTCCCCACACTTAAGTTGCTGTCAAATAAAAATAGATTGTTGGGAGAAGACGTGAGTCATGCAGGAAGTGTGACCAATTCCTTCATTAACTACTGATTGTCAAAGTGTATTTGACACATCCAGAACGTCACTGTGGGTTTGCACAGTCGTGCTGTCGACAGCAGTTAGACGGCAGGTTATAGAGTCTGCCTCTGGAAACTATGGTAGTTAGGGAGGCACTGGTGGAGTGGACGCTAATGGTCCGATCACAGTGATAAGGACAGCTGCGGGAATTTCCACTGTGAACTTTAAACATAAAAGTGGAACAACAACTTAGTGATTAGACGTAAACAATTGGAGATTCCATAAAAGTGGGAAGAATCCCTAGTATTAAAATGTTACTAACATATCATTTAAATCATATAATATCATATCTATTAGCAATAGAAATCATCTTCTGTGTTACTGCAGTCTAAGTCAGTATTTGACACTGTTCTGAATGTCATCATAAAATAATGTTTCAACACTGTGTTATGTTATTATTTTTTGCATTTCTTTTCACAACAAAATACAACAAAAATAATTCGGAATGTTTTTCCTTCTTTTCAAATACCCAATCTTTGCGGTTTTTTTAATTTTTATTCATATATTTATTTTTTGTGGAGGTGGGGTGAGTGTTGGGGTGTTTGTTTTTTTCCTTCACTACATCGATTTCTATGAGAGTGATTTTTACGTTCTTAAAACTCAACAAGTTTCTGCTGCCATCGTGTGGCTAAAAGGGTACAGTATACTGACGTCACGAAGAAGCAGTGAATTGTGCTCCACCCCTAGACTGTGATACTTCATGTCCAGGTTTTTAACAACTGTATGAGTATAATGAACAACACTCAATTTCTATATTTATTCTATTCTACTGTATTTTACTACATCATATCATATAACATAATACAACATAAGAACAATATTACATTAAAATCAAAATGTAATAAAGAATACTGATGATTCTCTTTAGGGGAGTGTAAAAGGTGTGCTACTATAAAGTGGTTGTTTGTCTGAAACTTAACAACAGTCCTTTTTAATTAATGGTTATTGTTAATTATTGTTAATTGAAACTGTCGTTGACCATTGGTAGATCCTGACTTAGTCAATGTTCTGCCAGTTCTCAGGTCTTCTTCTTTGCACACACAGATTTACATTGTTTACATCTGCAGACCATCTGGTGATGTCATATCCTGTTAAGGTGGAAACTAAAGTCCAAATGACTCTCACTGCAGTAAAGGCGGCCTGACTGTAGTCTGGGAAATTTCTGAGCTTGTGAGACTGACTGAATAATTCTCAGCAAGGTAATATATATATTGTTTGTTTGTTTTTTTCAAATTAATTTATTTCATTTTTTAAGTTTGAAAATGAAAACCTAAACTAAAACTACTGCCTACAATTAAGCTACATAATCAAACAGAGGTCTATTTTAATAATAATTTAAGATCGTAATTGGTAAGATTGTTATTTCATCATTTCAGGAATATTTTGGAGATGGCTGTTTTTCGTATGTTTCAATTTAAATGTTATTTAAATGTTGCACACATTGCATGAAGACTAATGCTGTGTGTAGGTCAACATGTGAAAAGGCAGCGACAGGTGGAGCATGGTGATTAAAAGCCATATGTCTCCAGGTCAAGCTCGTCTACAAACAGCTGTGATTGGCTGGAACAGAACACTGACTAATACCCTGTCACCGACTGTTGTTGTTACATTGGCACTCTGGCTTCATTTGGAAGTTTGACTCTAATATTAATAAAAGAAAAGGTTTAGATGATAGAAATATTCACCTGTTGAGCATCTATGATTATTGTAGTAGATATGTATTAATAAAGTTCTATCTATCTATGTTAAACTGATCATTTTTTAAACGACTGTACAAGATCATACAAAGTGCTTTGTTTCATGGCAGATCATGGAAGTCAGAGAGTCACCCGAGGGGTAAGTTAGGACTGAATAACTGACAAACACTGACCACACTGAGGTCTGGAGACATGTCAGGATGACGACTGTACTTACAAGCGTTCCACATATATATCTTCAGGTGTTCCCTGTCTTCTGATCTGGGAATAACAGGAGAGATTTCCTGGAAAGCGAGCAGCATATATGAAGGTACAGAGATATTCAATGTTCTAGTTGACTTCTAGTTTTTCACACAAACAGAAAAAAGAACTGTCATTCAGTTGAAATACATTGAGTACACAGTGTTGTCTTTGTGATACTGTGTGGACAGGTGAAGGGTCACACTCAGCCAAGGAGTGGTTCAGTGTTGTTTCTGAGCTGACACAGAGGATAAATCAAGGTACACCAATCCTTTTCCATTTTCCTTTTCCCCTCAATGTGACATGTACTGGTATCAGATAAGGACAATGTTGGCATAAAGGCGTCACGTACTGTAAATGTACATTAAAATTAGTTTATTATACACATTAGTAGCAGTATCACTTTAAAAATAAACCTCTGTTTCTATGTCATCATGGTTTTGACTAGTGATTGATGGTTTCTATGTTGTAGAGAAGACATTAACTTCAGACCATGGACTGAAGACCAGTAGCGTGGTCAGTGGACACATACCTTCGCAGGAATCTACTGAGGATGAGGCGCCCTCTACAGTCAGTCTTCAAGAAGAGTCAGAAAGCACAGCACCGGTCTTCTTCCCAGAATCTGCAGCCACAGAAGCAGAAGTGGTTTACGATGATGTTCCCACTGAAATGATACAGAAGACGGAGAACTGTGAGTCTGGGCTGAGCGGCTGACAGCTCCACGCTGCTGATCACTGATAATCCTCAGATGAGACAGTTATGACATTCAGGGACACAAACACAAAAAGGACTTGATATTTCTGAAATGTCAGAGATTGTCAACACGTCAAGCTAAACCTCTTTTTTTACCATGTGATTTCCTGCAGAAACAGCATCACGACGTACCTTCCTACAAAATCTAGGTATTTCCCAGATGACAAATATGACAAATATGAAACTGAATCAGGTGTTTCCTGTGTCTGTTGACTTCTCCGTGCAGATGTGGATGATGTCTACGAGGACATCCAGAGACCTGGAGTCCACGTCTCTCACAGCTGGAACTCCAGTGACTTTGACAGTAATGAAGAGACTTTCGACAGTGAGTCGGACCAACGACCTCGTAGCAGCAGAATCAAGGTTGGTTCATTTTATTTTTTTATATATCAATAATGACATGAACATTGTGTATAATTATTGTCAGGAGTCATTCCAAGTCCAAATGACTACACACATGCTGTTCTACTGAGTGATTTTTATATTGGGTCCTGAAGTCTGAGTTTTTGTGAATCCACAGACTTCAAATGATTTAGTTTGGTTTGTTAGCAGCTTTATGATCAACACATTTGGCAGAAAAAATATTTTTTATCTATTATTTATTTTTATCATTACTGCGTCTGAAACACTCTCAAGTTTCCTGGTCTCTCTAAAAGTTAGATAAGTAAGATATTATGGTACTGCAGTTGTAATGTGCAAAATAAATGTAACAATTACATTCATTAACATGGAAATAACTACTCTGCCAGTAGGTTTTCCTTTAATGTATTATTATTATCTGCACATCTTATAGACAACAGTATAAATTGCACCTTTAGATTTCACCAAATCCTCATCTCTATTCTGTTATTTGTTTGAATAATGAAACAGGAACCAATGAACCAATGAAAATGCATGGTGTAAACTGTTTCCATTTCACTTGGATATTTTACAGAATTTCCACTTGGTTGTATTTCGCCCACACCGTTTCTGTAGATACACTGTAAAAAGGAAGCACAAAACAAAAGTGAGATATGCAAACTAGGAGGAGAAAACAGAACAATCAGGGCTAGGCCTGGCTGTTTTTCCCTTCCTGCTGCCTGCTCAGTGTGATCAGTGTGATCACTCTCACCTGTGTCTCTGTCGTTAGTCTCACTGGTGTCACCTGGTTCACTGGGTATGTATACACCTCTCTCCCTCACTCTGTCTTGGTGGGATCTGTTGGTGAAGAGGGCACTGGTAGCGTGTGAACTCATGCTTGATGAGTTTGGTTTTAGATTTTTGATAAAGTCCAAGTTTTTGGAGGAGAGTGTGCCTGAAGACTAGGCTTTACCTCTGAGAGATGTTCTTGTTGCTCTTAGTAAACCTGCTGCACCTGAAGGGACTCTCCCTTGTGCTCCACTTGGTTCCTGCCTGCTTCCTGCCATGCCCACACGTAACAATCAGACTCTTAAATAAAAACAAAAAAGACATTTGGCAAAAGACTGTCAATACCATTCAGACCAAAGGAAGAAGAAAAGAAAGCCATTTCCTTTTGTTCCAATCTCAAGTCTTTAACTTCAGTTGGCATAAAACCTGCAACTGGTTGAGGGGGAAAAAAACACTCAGTTTTTTAAACCACATACCAAGTAAATGAAACCTGATTTGATGAAAAGAAGAAGTGTAAATTCTCTGCTTGTCCTTCGCCGTGTCAGCACTTCTGTCTTTTGCTGCATTGTGTTTGTCTTGTACGACTTCCTCACCACTTCATACAACACTGTAGATGAAGTAAGGACGTCAGGGAGTCACTCATGACCAACGGAGCCTGGAAAATTGTGTGTGTACGATGCTGTTTTGGTTTGGTTTTTTGAGTGACCGATTATCAATATGAGGTAGGTGATTCTCCTTTTGAGCCTGCATTCAGACACTGAGAGACCCCACGTATTTAATTGGCCTGTTGATTCTGCTGTAGTTTATCATGTCCCTGGTGCCAGGCCTGTTCTGCAGAGGGTCTTGGCACTGAGTTCCGTTTCAACGATTACTGTTTTTATGTGATGTTCTATGATCTGATCTTCCTTTGTGGAAGAATTCGACTGAGTGTTTTGATCTTTCAGCTGCCTGTGGATGTGCTGCAGTTGAATCGGTCGGGGCATTTAAGGACACCACATGTGGTCCGTATCAGACGGCGCTGTGACAACAAGGTCAGTTTCTATCTATCTTTTTTTAATGCTTCCTTTTCCCAGTTCGACATATGAGCCCACCGAAGGTTTTGGACTTGTCTTCAAAGGTGCATCAGATAATGAAAGCTGCAAGAATCAGTACAAGGGATGGTTTAGAGAAGACAAAGTTGGCCATGATTCGCAGTGTGTCGTCACTACAGAGGAAAGACTCGGGTAGGTGACAGTGGAAATGAATGTTATTGAGTTTGTTTGACCCGTCTTAGTAAATGAAGCTGTTGAGTTTTGTGTTGTCGTAGGTGAAGGAAAGGATGATTCAGGTTACATCGACGTATCGCTGTGTGAGATCAAACACCCTCCGGCGAAACTTTGCCCAATGCCAGAGGGTCTCAGCAGTCAGCAGGTGTGTGTCCCTGTGTGTGTTAGGCTCAATTCATGACCTGTGTAAAACTGTCACGTCAGCATCTTTACTGTATTGGACTACAGCAGTCACAGCAGCATTCATTAGACCAGAAACATGAACTCATCCAAATATTTCCCTCTCCGTCTCCTCCAGGTTCTCAGACGTCTCATCCTCAGCTCCATTATACAAAGTGAGCGGAACTACCTTGACTCTCTGAAGAGGATTCTACAGGTCAGTCACAGTTCTCCTTTCTACCAAAAAAAACAACAAACTGAAATGTATCTGTAAAATAAACTAATAACTGAAATATATATATATTTTTCCAAGGAGTATCAGAAGCCATTACTGGAGTCAAAGAACTGCATCCTGAACACCAAAAAAGTGCAGCAGATCTTCTACAGGGTGCAGGAGATCCATCAGTGTCACTCCATGTTCCAGATTGCTCTGGCTTCTCGCATGGCTGAGTGGGATCATTGTGAAAAGATCGGAGACCTGTTCGTGGCTTCGGTCAGTTTTGATATTTATTTGATGGATTTCTTCCCTAATTCGTCTATAATACACTAAAAAAGATTCATCTGGAGTAGAATATTCAGAGAAGTAACTCAGTGTGACACTGCTAATCCTCTCCACAGTTTTCTAAGTCCATGGTGCTAAATGTCTACAGCGACTATATCAACAACTTCACTAACTCCATGGCACTGATTAAGAAAGCCTGCATGACTAAACCTGCCTTCCTGGAATTTCTCAAGGTACACACGTGTAATATTGTTGTACTGTACAGTAGAGTCTGGTGTTTTACTTATGAGGAAGTGGACCACAACAAAACACAACAGTGGTCTCTTAATGACTGAATCTTGAATCCTGGTTACCGTATAGACACAGACACATTTCTACTCAAAATAATCCATCTGTTAAAATAGACTAGTTACCTATAAACAAAGCCTGTTGTCTACTTTGATGTGGTGTTACAGAAGACACAGGCGTCCAGTCCAGACAGAGTCACCCTGTACGGCCTCATGGTCAAACCCATCCAACGATTCCCTCAGTTCATTCTCCTCCTGCAGGTAAGTCTGCAGGTTCAGTGTCAAACTCAATTTTACCTATTCAGTATATGTCAGTGGGCCGCATAAAATGACGTGATGGGCTGGATTTGCCCTGCAGGCCTTTGGTTTGAAATGAGGTCTAAAGCATGGATTCAGTTAATCAAAATAATCATGTACTCTGTCACCTCAGGACATGCTGAAGAACACTCCAGATTCCCATGCTGACCGTTTGCCCCTGCAGCTGGCTCTCTCTGAGCTGGAGACTCTGGCTGAGAAGCTCAATGAGCAGAAACGTGTGGCAGATCAGGAGGCGGAGCTGCAGCAGCTGGCTCACAGTGTGGCAGGAGGCAAATTTCACAAAGTCATTACACAAGTCAGTGTGTTAGTCGGCATAAAGTTATATGACAGTGTTATGGTTTGGGGTTTCTTTTCTGTCATTAAATACAAACAGCAGAGCCACTCCTGTGTACTGTATTTACAGATGCTGAACTCAGAGAGCAGACAGTTGGTCCACTCTGAGGTTCTGACTGAAACTGTTTACGGTGATAAAGGACAAGTTCTCAAGTCCAAGGAGCGAAAGGTTTTTCTCCTCAACGACAGCCTGATCTGCACCAACATCGTCCGCAAGTGAGTAGCTCTACACTGAACCCCTGTAAATGAGCTGAACATTAGCTTAGCTTTTAGCAGCAAAGGGAAAGCCATACAAAGATAACCTGTATGTTTGCTGTATTAAAATAGAATAAATTATTAGTTTTACCTTTTGAGTTACTTGAAATACAGTATATTGTCAAATAAACTTAAATATTTACAGTCTCTTATTTAAAGTTAATTTTAACATGACACAATTAGTGTTTTGTCATTAACCACCGGTTTATGGGAAACAATCTAAATTCCAATAAGTGAAGTGTTACTCACAGACAAAAATCCTGCCTCATGATGTCCAGCAGGGGTCCTCCTGACATCAGCAGTCCAATCCCTGTTGGACCCAGATACACAGTGAAGTGGTGTGTCCCACTGTTGGAGACAAAGGTAGTGGAGGTGGGACAGGACAGTCTTCATGACAGAGACACTGAAGTGAGACACTACAGCGCCACCTGCAGCACCAGTGGTAGGTTACACATGTGAACTCTCTCTTTCTAATAATAATTCTGTTTACTGGGAGTGACAGACAGACAGATTGATTTATATTGTGTTTTTGCTCTTGTAAATGTCACAAAAAAGAATCATAATAATCCAGTTCTTGTTTTTGTCCCTTAAAATATCAGTGGTTTTTCAGAACATTATCTATGTTGTGTTTTAGAAAACACGTTTCTGGGTTCTCCCAAACTGTACCAGGAACTGGAGGAGCTGCAGCATGACCTGGACGTGGTGGAGAGGGTCTGTCTGATGGTGGGCACGCTAAATGGTACCTACCAGGTATAAACACTGAACAAGGACCTGTCGATCTGTGTGTGTGTTAGAGAGAGTGAAAACTGCTGTAAGTTGCTCAGTGAAAAGGCCAATGAAGTCCTGATTACCTGGAGGGTTGTTATTGCCCAGCTGATGATTAAGACCTCCGCCAACCTCATGTCCTTCTGTCCCTCCTGTAGAACCTGAACACCACCGTGTCTCAGGACTGGTGTCTGGCTCTGCAGAGGCTCATCCGTCTGAAGGAGGAGGAGATCCAGAACGCCAACAAGTCCCGTCTGCGTCTGTCTATACCTGGGAAACCTGACAGGTGAGTGGCTGGAGTTTGATGGAAGACCCCTCTGTACAGCATTAGACATAATGGCCATACCTTTTCCTTCAGGTCTGGTCATCCAGTCAGCATCAAGGTGGTCTTCAACACTACTAGTTCTCTCAGTAAGATCGTCTGGGTCAACAGGCTCCACCTGGCCAAGATAGCTCAGAGTAAGTCCAAACGCCCCGTCTCTTTTTCCCAGTTCTTAATTCCCACATCCACTTATTTGCACTCCACTGACTGTTATCATTGGGCTGGAATGGTTGTGACTTGAGTTTGGTTGTTTGGGTTTTTTTTCTTTTCTTATATCCGTGTTTATGTACTTTTACAAGTTTTTATTGTTTTCCACTTCTTTTACTGCCAACTACAAAAACCAATTTCCCCTCGAGGGACAATAAAACCCCTGAACTGAGCTGAACTGAAGGGAACGAGAGAGACGGTCAAACATTACACAAGGCTATAAAAGTGCTGAATGAATGTGTGAATGTAAAAGTTTACTGTTTAATGCTCTGTGAGGTCACTTATCCTAAAAAAAGTGCAGTGTGTTAGGAATGACTAGTTAAGGAGGTTACCAGGCCTGTTAGGTCCTAATTATACACTGCAAGGTGCACGCACGCACACACACACACACACACACCCACACCCACACACAGACTAATGTGTCCATGTGGGTGTAGGACCAGAAAACAAACCATGCTGGAAAAGTGCTGAAGAAAATGAGAAGAAGAAAGTTCCGTTTGGTTTTCCTCTGATGACCTGCAGACTGGCTGGCTTCTCCTCCCGGACCTACAGGAGAAAGGTGAGCGCTTGTAGGCATAAAACATGTCAAACAGTTACAGTTCCTACGTGTTTTAGTTAATATAACCCTTACTGTTTCAATAAAAAATTAGCATTACTTTGCTTTGGTGGGTTTTTGTCTGCAGACTAACTAACACGGTTTCCTGTTCCTGTGTAGTTGAATGCAGCTCTTCACAGTCCGTCCCGGTCCAGTTTGCTTGGTTTCTGTACTGTTACTACAACCTTACCACAAGGTTACCTATGGGTGAGACGCAAACTAAATCAAGACAGTCATATTTTCTTACCCAGTTTACTGTGCAGGTCTTTTTGTTTCTGCGTCGTGACGTATTGTTGTTCTCTGTGTTCAGGTGGCTGGTGGAGGAGCCACCTACAGCCAACTGGAGATCTTCTCCTTAAACAGAGTCAACCCACGATTGGTTAAGACCATTACACTTAAGAGCCCAGTCTTGTGTATGGAATATGTGAAGGAGCCATATCCCTTCACAGAGGAAGAGCCTGAGAAGAACCACGGTCTGACCAAGAATGGAAACATCATCTGTGCTGGTCTGCAGGACGGCAGGTCAGACGTTGTTCTAGAGCAGACGTGGGCGTGCCACAATTGTCCTGAAATTAAACAGGGGGACGGGGTCAGCAGCAGATAAATGTGTGAATAAGATAAATGATATGTAAAAATCATGCATAAGGTGCTAAAATGCTTACACCATCTACTGGGGAAATGTGGGTATTGCAGGAAAAAGGCAGAAGTAAAATGATAATATAAATGTATTATATAATTTGGAAAAGTTTGGCGGCCCAGATTAAAAAGCTGAACGGGCCGCTTCCAGCCCCCGGGGCCTTAGTTTGCCCATGCCTGTTCTGGAGTCTACATAACTCAGTAACATGGTCAAGGTTGCATTCTTCTTTTAGCTGCTTTTTATTTCATCCTTATTTATTGTCTTCAGAGTGCCACAGTGGATTTTAATTCTAAACAAATATCTTCACTAAATGTAATATCTCAAGGCCTCCAACCAGGTTAACTGAGGATAAACAAGACAGTCTGAAAAACATGGGTCTGTAGAACGGCAGCATTAAAAAAAAAAGACTAACCCTTTTAACAGCATCCAACCCACTCCAAGTTCAATCAATACTCATCAAAACACGCTTTGTATGTTTATGTTTCTGTGTCTGACATGACCGTCTCTGATTGGATGAGTCATGTATGAGGGTGCACA